TTATTAAATGAAAGCCATGTGAGTTATAAAGCCAGACATTAAGCAAAAAGCTGTTGTGGACAAATAACGCCCAAAACATCAAACAAGAATTCACTTATTTGATGAAAATTAATCTGTCATATTGTTTCCAAAAGGAACATAATACCATGCCTCATTTTCAACATGAAACAACTCTTTCATGCATCACATCTCATCTATGCCTTCAGATTTATAACGAAAAGCATTAAAATGAACCAGCAATGAATTTCTACGATCAACAAACAAGTCATTAAGAACTGACTTGGTATGTGGTCACATTTAAAAGCTGGTGACAGCATTTAGGATAATGGCATTGCAACTAGAGGATTCAGCTAAAGAATTTCTTCTAACTTACTTTCTAAAGTCAAGAGTTATCTTCCTTTTTTCATTGCTAACAAATAGAGTTTGTCAGCCTTTTCCTCTAAGATGACCTAGAATGCATTGGATCAGAACTCATTTGATTTGTAAAAGAAGCTAAAAGTGATCTCCATTACTAAAATATTTGCAGGGATGCAATATAACAATCACTTTTATTGGATATGGTGTCGTTGAACTGATATGTAAAGGATTCTGAAAGAAAGCGCCTCTTTCATATAACTTGATTCTGTTTTGTTGCCAAACATCTTTATTATCTTGTACTTATGTACGTGTGACTGTTTCTGTTTGCAAGAGATTAGTTGGCTGCAAATCGTTGCTAAGCACTGTTTTTAATCTTTGTTTTACTGTCTTCTGGACTTATGGTACTAATTTTCATACTTCTGAAATCAAAATTGAATCATCCTATGCAACACAAAAAATACTGAAAAGAAATAATTACACTCATTTTGACATACACTTAAATAAAAAACCAGCATCAATCAACACCAAGATTAAAAACTGGAAAGAATTTGTATTACAATCATACAATGAAGGAGAGAATAATAAAAGAATTACACAAATTACATATTTCCAAGCAATATGGTAAAGAAGGTACCTGAATGGCATCCTTTGAGAAATAGCGGCCATCACCAGAAACAACAAGAGTAGCACCTGCAAGACAGAACACAATGTTTTCTCAGTAAATGAGTTGATGAAGAAATAATTTAGTCAGAGATAAACGGCAAGGGACAAGGCAAAGAATTGGAATTTAGAACCAAAAAAAGTCCAACAGTTATTTTGTTATTTAAAATGGCACCTTGAGGATTTCTTTTAGGTCTTTATAGTTATCCTTCAAGAAGAAATATAATTTTCCCTTTGGAGCTAATGAAAAATGTTCCTGATTCATAACTGTTGGAAGTGCATGTACATCCCCAACCTAATATAATATCAAACTTCAGGGCATATTGAATGCATGTCTTGGTCTCGGGAGATAATAATTCAGCACTGGCATTCTATGAAATACGCTTCCAACTTTCCATGAAATTATTTATATATGCACCACGAAAGTGTACACATACATGTGAAATAAAACAAAGTTTTCAGAAAAACACGTCTTCGTGTCTCCCTTACGAAAGGTTACAACAGTCCTGTAACCAGCAAGTAAGTTGTAACATTGGAGGGAAGGGGTGGGAGGCAACACCTACCTCTAACTTTATCTGCTGTAAGGGCATTGAATGTGGCCTGAACAAAGTTTTGTAAATAGCCAGGTTGCATAAAGACTTTCACCTGAACAGATCCAATCACCATTATATTATTAAATTATATAAAGAAAACCGTTTTGACAATCAGCAACCTATAGAACAAAAGATTACTAAGTCAGAACATCCGAGTTCTCTACTAATGGTGCTCCCACTTTCAACATCAGAAGTTCATATTATACGAGTGCTCCCACTTTCAACATCATAAGGTCATAACATATGAGAAGAATTATCAAGTTTTATTAAGATATTCACAAGGCATTTTAGAATTTAGCAAAATAACATCATCACAAGGAAAAGTCTTAGTAAACTGAGACGAAACAATCAGGTTGGTGAATAATCTACTGATGATCATAGAAACCAGCAACGGAAACAGTAAATAACTGGGATAAGGAAAGCTATAACGCCGCCAAGTTGATCCAGATATTAGACTTTCATAATGAAAAAATAAAAAAAGACCCTAAAACTAATTGAATCTTATGGTATTATCCATGAGCTTCGTTTGCTGACAGCTGCAGCAGAGGGGGACTTAATTCACCCAAACAAGAAGTTTTTGTGAGAAATTATAAAATTGTTTGTATAAATTATAACAATAAACCCTAAAATTTTTCAGATCTCTAAGATTTATTATTTTAGGAGGAAAATCTCTAAATGTGAGTCTCCGGTTTAAAAATTGAGAATAAAAAATATAAGAGACTGGTTCTTACATATACATAAGCAAATGTCAAACAGAACACAACATAAGTGATCGATTTTAAAATTTGAAAAAGGAATCAACTAACAGAACTTGACATTTCTGTTTCGTTAAAATAAGATATTAAAAACAAGCCACCACCTCTCTGATCTAAACGGCAATACACACTTGTTGCACATGCAAATTGATAAGATCTAATAATTCGATTAGAAGACGAATCGAACGCAACAGGCGTGCATGTCACCGATCCATTCTTGATAATGAAGAAAGAAAGAAAAACCAATGGATCAATTGATCTACCGGAACCAACAAAGTAAAATTTGAAGCTAGCCAAGCATTCAAGCAATGGATTAAAGGAAAATAAATCCGAAATTAAAGAATCAACTGGACGGAAAACAAAGAAGAAAACCTTTTTGCGGAGACCAGAAGTTCCTGGTTTCTGGCCATCGAAAGGCGTGGTTTCTACGCATAAAGCCTTGAACATCACCATTTTCTCGTTCTTATTTCTGCGACAAAGCAAAACTCGAGACAAGCAGATCACAGAGAATTAAAGAGAGAAAAAGAAGGAAATGAGGAAGTGTTCCGTCGAAGGTACTTACGGGATGATTAAAGAGAGGCGACAAAAACCAGAAGAGGAGAGTGCGCTTATTATATTCCTCTGTAAGCTTGTTTTTTGTTGGAGACAGGTGTAAGTGAGTGAAGAAATGCGCAAAAAGACGAAGAAGATGGGTGAGGCTGGGATTGGATCACGCCAATTTAAAACCGCACACGTATTCGTCGAACCACGGGCTTCTTCTTTCTTCTTTCTTTTTTCTTTTTCTTTTTCTTTTCCTATGCTATTATTCTTTTTATTTCTAAATAATTTTAATAAATATATAATATCTGAATATTAATAATAATACAATTATTATTATTTTTTTCTTATTTCAACGTCAATGATAAAGAACATAACTGATTTCATAATTTTTTCTATAAAAAAAATTTCAAGAATTTAAACCCGTATTTTTTTATTTTTAATATTATTATTTATTATGTACACATGTGTTTTATATAAATATATATATATAGTATTTAAAAATAAAAGCATGTCCTTAACTGCTAAATATAAGGAGTTCTGTCAAAACGGGAAAGAAAAATAGTGCATCAGGTGGCTCTGCCATAAATCTGTTAAGCATCATTTTTATTTTATTTTTTAGCATATGCTTTGTTTTTGTTTTTTTTTTCTTTCGCCTTTTAGCTTAATCTGGAGCATATTCCTATCCAATTTATTCGATCCGTATGAAAATAAAATTATAATAAATAATTGTGAAAAAAATAAAATAAAATAAAAATATAGATATATTCCCCTATTTTATTTTTATCTATCCATTATATATTATTATTATCATAGATAAAGTTGGATTTAGTTATAAATATAGTCTACTACCTTACCTTATGCTTTGAAATTTCAACTATTACAGTTAACTTTCTAAGTTTTAATTAACTTCTATATTAAATAAATATATTTTTAAATATATATTATTATGTGAAAATTATATCATTAAATTTGATGACATGCCACGAATATTATAACACTATTTAAAATTTCACTTATTTTTAAAACATTCAAATCCAAAAACTTTCTCTTTTGGTTCTACTCTTTATATCTTCCAACTCATATTTTATAAATATATTTTATCTAATTTACTATTTAAATTTTTTTAGAACTTAATTTTTTATGATATAATTAGAATGTGATAATCATATATCAAAAAATTTATTTTTACCTTTACAAATAATTAATTTGAATTAAAAAAATTGAAGGTAAGAGATTTTACGGCAACAATTAAAAGCTAATTAATCAAATTAAGAGGTTATTTCTAGATTCTTTTTTTTTTTCATTTTCTTTCTGTTGTTACTTCTTGTTTTTACCTAACAAGGCTGTTTCCTTTTTTTTTTTTTTATCTTTTTTATTTATTTCATTTTTTCTTTTCCTTAATTTCAAAGTTAGGTTATTGTGATGTAAAATTTAATGTAACCCATGACTCATTGTCTCATGTGCAAGCTTCTTCGTGTCAATATTGGATGCATGTGTAATGCCCAAATTTAATTTAATATAAATTAAATTAATTTATGTAATTTTTAATTTTTTTTAATTTTAATTTAGTGTAAAAATGAAGAAATTTGATGGAGGATGAAATTGAAAACGATTTTGAGAAAAATGGGTGAAAATTTAGATTTTTTGGATATTTTTAAAAGAAAAATTATAAAACGGGGTCAAAATACAATTTAAAAAACTTGTACCACGTAGAATGCCCGGTCAGTAGCCCCGACGAACCAGAATGCGCTACGTGGCAACTGACGCTGACGCGGTGCCATGCGGGCGATCTGCGTACCCGCGATCAAACGATTCATATTCGTTCCCGCGCACACGGATGGTAAGATTTAAATGTGATCAACTGTCCAGATTTACTTCTTATTTAAGCGCGATCGGACTGTTCAAATTAGATCGCGATGGACGACTCAGATTCATTTTCTATTTAATCACAATCGAACGGTGCAGATCAAACGCGATGGACGGTTCAGATTAAATGAAGATGGATATAAATAACTATTTTCACATCAAACCCTAACCCTAGCTGCCAGACACCCTCACCAGAGAAGAAGACCCAGCCGCCAGGAAGGAGAGCCGCTGCCACCCGTCGTCGCGTTGGAGCTACTTCCGACCGTAAAAAAAGATAAAAATTTCTCCCTTTGCTCGAAATTCAATTTTAAACAACTCCATGGCCAAATCAAAGCAAAAAAACCAGTTGATTGACCGAAAATCGCAGGTAAAGTCCGACGGTAACACCGCGGAGAATTTCGAAAATTGCCTCCGATGAGACCCTTCTCGATTCCTGTTCTGCGTAATTTTTTCACCATTGTGATCACCGTTTTCTTCTTTACAAGTTGACCATAGCAAAACACTCAACTGCAACGTGAGCCAGAGAAGCCGTTGCACTGGAGAGCCCCGCCACCGTTGAATTTCAGTTTTTTTGTATTTTTTTTACCAACCGATGCCCCTTAATGTATTTTTTTGCAGGGACTGATGTAAAATCGGCCAAAAACAGCCGACTCAAGGCGGACAGCTACCGCCCGCGGCGGCGCTGGCGTTGAAGCACGGCGGAGCCACTGTGGTAGAATTTCAAAATTGGCAAAAAATAGGTCATGAGACTGATTTTGAGTTTTTTTGGGATATTTGTAGGTACTTATAGTGCATTTTAATCCCTAAAGAAATTAGAGAACCCGGAGACTGCCAGTAGGCACAGTCAATAGTTTTGCTT